AATTTTGTATAACTTATTTTCATAAAGTTTAAAGTTGTTTTCATTAGTTACGACAGCCATCTTTGTTTTCTTTTAGAAATCTTAGGCTACATGGTTATTTAGCCTACACCTAATTTTATACAAGTTTATAATAACTCCTATTTCATAGGGTAAGATTGTTTATAGATTTTCTTTAGTTATATATTTCTAAATATGCATTATAAATGGCAGATGTGAATTTGTATTATTTATTTGTGTTGTAAATTTCTTTCATTATTTGTATTTATAAGAATTATTTATGTATTTTTCAGAGTTATTGTTTAGATTTATAATAATAAAATTTATAGAACCCCGACCCAGAGTTTCCTTGTATCTTCAAATAAACCTGTTACACAATCTTTAATTCAAAGTACAAACCCAAAATACAAATCCCGAATATTATATCTATCCAAAACGGAAGTACCTAAGTCCAAGGCCATGGCAACAACATGGATTATACCTATCTACATCGTAGTCCATAAGTCCATTTGGCATAAAACCGTCGACCACAAGGTCCCAATCACATACCATGCCTGTGCATTCGTAGCATTATTGTCAATGCAATATTACATCCTTTATTCCCAATCACAAGGAGCAAAGGGCATTATTACGGAAGCGTATTAGGGCCATTCTTTTTTATTTAATTTTCAAGTTAGTATGTTGAATTTTCAAGTTAGTATGTTTTCAAGTTAGTATGTTGAATTTTCAATTAGTATGTTGAATTTTAACTTGAAAATTCAAGACACTAACACATACTAACTTGAAAATTCATGTAACTAACTTGAAAATTCAAGTTACTAAATTCAACACACTAACTTGAAAATTCAACATACTAACTTGAAAATTAAACATACTAACTTGAAAATTCAAGTTACTAAATTCAACATACTAACTTGAAAATTCATGTTACTAACTTGAAAATTCATGTTACTAACTTGAAAATTCAAGTTACTAAATTCAACATACTAGCTTGAAAATTAAACATACTAACTTGAAAATTCATGTTACTAACTTGAAAATTCATGTTACTAACTTGAAAATTCATGTTACTAACTTGAAAATTCAAGTTACTAAATTCAACATACTAGCTTGAAAATTCAACATACTAACTTGAAAATTCAACATACTAGCTTGAAAATTCAACATACTAGCTTGAAAATTAAACATACTAACTTGAAAATTCATGTTACTAACTTGAAAATTCATGTTACTAACTTGAAAATTCAAGTTACTAAATTCAACATACTAGCTGAAAATTCAAGTTACTAAATTCAACATACTAGCTTGAAAATTCAAC